AACGAGTCGTCTTTCGAAAATTGTATTTGCCGCTGATTTTCGCGTGAGCGTCATCGCGGCGCGCTAACAAAAGGGCAAAGTTGCCAGCACGCTTACGTCACCGATCTATTTCGCTAACGCTTCTATTCTCGGAGAACGCTGAAATATTATTGGGAAAGTGTTTCCGCGTGAAAAAAAAGAGGAAATGAGCTTATCTGTATGCAGCGAGACGCGTGACGGACTGTCTCAGTGTACATCCAGATCTCGCGCAAAGATCCGCGGCGGTCAAGGAGTCTGGATCCCGTCATGATAAGGACGTTTCGGGAAACAACACTGTCATTCGATTAAACGGAATCGAATAGAGACTACTCGTGCATATGCACGACAGCATATACGCACAGTACGTACAGCTCGCAATTCTCAAAAGATAACCTTCCATCTTTTCTGTGAGTAGATTTCAATCTAGGTGTTTAATTTCCAAAATTTGGAACTCTGTACCGTTTCGAAACTCTGGAAATTTGAAGAAACAGTGTCATTGATGCAGAATAATCAGTAACTTCTTACCACGTTGACCACTATGTAAATTTTGAGAGTTTTGTATATTACTTGTTCTTTTGTAATAAAAGCAAATGGTATTAAAATTGGTTATTAACGGTTTGGCATCATAATTCTCGAGTTACACTATTAATCAGTTACTCGTGTTATTGAATATTTTAGTTTCGACATCAGCTTCCTTCGTGTAATTGTCTTCAAGGTGTGTGGAAGCCTCCGGTCATCGATGACCACGTGGCGGTCAACGTGTTAATTAGTTCATCCTTACTACTTTCCATTCGATCTTCCATATCTCTTCATTCATCTCAAATATCCTTTTACTAACCGAGTTGCATCACGCTTGCGTATGTTGCACAGACGGATTTTTGAATCGCATCCAATGGGTGTTCAACGGATGATCGACGAATTATCCTGGTTTCGCCGCGAAAACAAAGGGTCATTTCTAAAATTGATCTAACTCTAACATATCAAAAATGTGAATAATTTTTCGATTATCTTCACATAGGTCTACGATATCCAAAATTCCTCCGCTGATTCAATGAGCAGTCTTCGACTAACATTATTCCTAAGGATATGCACTCGCTCGCAAAAAGATCTAAACGATGTTATGTATATTCACGATCCAAACAATATTCGCGCGTTTATGTAACGCGTCTGTCTAACAGAGACTACGAGTGCAGAAGGAAGGAAAAAAAGAATCGGAGACTCTGCTCTTCGTTGGTTCAGCTGAAAGCGAGTACACGAGGAAACAGTATCGTCTTGACAAATTATTATTAGACCAGCGATCGGTGACGCTGTTAGTCGTCGGAAGAGGTTCATTTGTCGAATGCTCGGTCTTTAAACTAGACTCTCGTCGAATGTACAGTGTTACACAGAAACAGAGCACGAGAATCGTATTCGATTTTTCGCAGTACATTGCAATAAATCCTCTCGCTCGAGCTGTTATCAAACAAACAATCGGGCTCGCGTTGTCTTCGAATACTTTCCAACCGGTTTCTTATCATAATAGAATTATCGTAATACACGCCTGCCTTTAATTTACCAGCCATATATTAACAGATTCGTGATTCGTTCAAATTCCGAGAGGGTTTGCATTATCTGGCGTTGCTTGGTTCTGACATAATTCGGCACCGATTATGTCGCGTGAACTTGCAACGTCGCGTGAGTTTGCGAAAACGAATTGTTTTTGTCCGCTATCTGTTTAATGGGCGGATGAAGAAGTTCATTTTCCATTTGAAGCTTATCTAAACGCATCGTTGTAGCATCGGGTTTTCCTCTCACGGTTGTGAACGTAAGTATCTAATAGATGATAAAATTTTATCATTAAGAAGTTAAAAATATTCTATAGAAAAGAAGAATCTGGTTCACTTGACAGGGTGTTGTACTATATTGTACAGTTTATTGTTCCTAGAGCAATTGATGTTCGTTGATTTGCATAGATCTTCGAGATTAGATGAAAAGTAGTTACATAAAGATTTACAAAGTAGCAGCTGTAAAGTTCAATAAGTCATGTTGACGCGTTTCGTGGACGAAGCATTAAGGAAGAATAATTAGTGCTCGAAGATAGCCGTTAACAACGAATAAATTCTTGCCACTCGAGCCATACATGGCCAGGCAACGATGCAACAAAGCGTCTCCAGCTTTCTATCGCTTATTTGTTGAAAACGAGGTACTAAATTTTGCAATTCTCGCGGCTGTCCGGTCGAGGGGATTTCTAAAACGCGATTGGCCGTCGACCGGCCGCGCCAGCAACGCGTTTGCACGGTAACGAGTGACTGGTAACGTCGACAAAGATGCTTTCGAAACAGTGTTCGTCAAGGCAGATCGATAGGAAAGGAATCGCGGTGGAGGAGAGAGGTGAATATACAGGGTGCGAACGAAATATCCACCGTGAAAGTTGTTTGTTTTCGAGTCCAGCTTTCGACGTGTTATTTACAACCATTCGAAATTATCGAGACCCGTCGTGCGGAAAGTAAATAAAACCGATTGAGCTCTAAATATCTGCCAAACGAGAAATTCGATAGTTTCATCGCGAACAAGCGACAAACAGGACAATCGCAAGATATGAATAAAAGCGTTAAAATCGAGACAATCGAAACCAGAATGCAAACAGGGAAAAAAGAAGAGGGAAATATCTATGTGAAGTTTTGAAAGCGGAATAGAGATCCAATAAAACATGAATCGGTTCTGCAGCGCGTAAAAGCCTAGCAATGTCAACATTGTCAAGCAGATTATAAATCAATAGGCAGTCGTTCGACTGGCGGAAAAAGAGTCGTTTCACCAACGTTATTAATTCATCGACGACTCTCGTTCATTCGTCGCAATCGGCTTCTTTCCTCGACTGTACCATTGGCCAACGAAATTACATAACGAGATCGTGTTCGCGATTCCTCGTTGGAAATCACGGTAGCAAACGGTGTTCGGTTAAATTGAAACGATCGGTCTTCTGGCTCGCGAATTATACAACCTCGTTATCTTGCAACAATGCTGCGCGCTGAACCGGTTTAACCCTTCCGTTCAAGCGTCACCGGGTACCAACGAGTCCTGTTGGATTCGTCGTCGACGAAATCGTCGAATCGACGCGCTTTAATTGCCCGGACAGCTAATTGCGTCTAGTTAAGACCAGTCAGCTTGAGCGAGAAACGCTTCCCGGTTGTAATTGAGCTCGGCGAGGAGAATCATGCGGGTGTCGTTACCCTTTCTTGGAAATACGATGCCAGTTCGTCGATAAAAATTAGTTTGGTGTAGATGCAATCTCTGGAATCTGTTCGATCCCGTGAAGATTACACTTGAGAGAGATTCTTAATTCATTGAAGAGCATTCCTAGCGTATCGGGAAGATTGGGAACAATACTTTTGACAAGGCTGACCGAAACAATACAGTAGCAGCTTTCTCCAGAGAGTATTGATTCGCGCAGACTTCTTGGATTCTGAACGAAACCCTCGGTATCCGATGGAACAGGTTTCTCCCCTTGGATCTACGACACAGTGGAGAAGAATATATGAGAAAGAGCTTGATAAGGGGATGAAATTTAGCAGGGAGACTGGAACAGATACGATGTACTCTGAATCTACTCAGCACACTGGCCATCTAATATAAGCTTTTCAAAGATAGAATTGAATCACCCTTTCTATTAGTGAAACAAAATTAAAGAGAGTATTGTATAAAGAGTCCTGATAAGAGTAGCTCCAGACTATCGATCGCCAGAATCTGGTCCAACATTCTAGACCCCGTTTGTTGCTGAACGAGTCAGTAAATCGAAGAAGCAAAGATCCTGAAAAATATGAAAGGTTTCAACTGTTCTAAACACTGCCGTCAGACTCTGTCATCAAAGAAGTCATCTATCTCTAGACTGTCGAAAGCTCTGTGCAACGAACCCGAACACGTTTAAATTTACTCAGACGTTTGACAACGTCAAGGTGACGAAGTCTTGCAAGCGGCACGCCAAGAAAAACATTTTTCTCCTAGAAATGAGATCTAGAAGAGCCACGCGATCTCGGGGGTCGTTGAATCCTGTTTATCGCGGCATCTCGCCGAGTCCGTCTGCGCGGCTCTGGCCGTTGTTCCGAATCGATCCCGGCGTTCCCGGTCATCGGTCGGTCGGCCGGCCGGTTCGAGCTGCATCGGCTCGCCGTAATAAATCGCCAGCTGCCATAAATCTATTCGCAATTAGCGGGGCAGACGTAAACACCGAGCAACGCGTGCTCGATAAAGTGGCTTGCCCCGGCAGGTCGTGATGTCACCGTTACGAAAGCCGGCGGTATTATCGGTCTGACATTGCGAATATTCGACAGGACTTGTTATCTTGCTGCGTACGTGTCTCGCGATGATTTCGCGGCGGCACAATGTCTCCGGAGGTTTTCGCGATAGCCTTGAGCCCCGATCGAGGATAAAAATACATGTAATTAGCCTTATAAGTATAGATTATTCCCTAGAAATCGACTTCTCGAGACGGTGTCCCGGCTGTCCATCATTGTTGCAATCGATGACAAGTGAAATTTTCTTTTAGACACGCTACAGTCAATTTTCCATATGTGTTCTTCGAACACAAATAGTAAATGACAGGCTTTCTTAACCAATTCCATCGTTGATTTCTCATGGAAGCTAAAGGAACCGTTCTTCAAAGTGTTTGAAGACTTTATCGCCTGAGGTGCGCAATCTTACCTACAATCTACTCATCTTCACTTATCTTTGTCTACATTTTTTTGGCCTTATCGCCTGAATTAATTAGTCAGTCGCGCATTGAACGACTTTCCCGCGCCGAGGAATCGCTCACTACAATGTTGGGAGCCTCGTACGACTGGCAGGTGATATCTTCGTCATGATCAAAGCATCGTCATCTAGGTTTCCTTTATTTTCATTCGGTGGTAGTCATAGTCGAGCGGCAATCACTTGTACTCGGGTCCCGTATCGCTGAATCCGGCGTGTACATGGTGGTCCGGAGTAAAAACGTTCGTCCTCCGTTTCAGTGTTGAGCGCGAGGCGTCGAAGAACATCGAGGAGAACGAGCGAGAGTGTTTCAAGGATGCGATCGTGTCGAGCAGAAGTCTCAACAAGGGCTTCGTCGAGAAGACCGAGATTAAGAATGCGATACCGGAGGTACGGATCGAAAAGACGTGTCTTAGACTACGAATCTTCCATCTTTCGGCATACAGATTTCAAGCTTCCAATCGATTACATGTCTAGATCGCCGCCTGCTTCATCGCCGCGTCTTTCCACATAGCGGTCGGTCTCTGTATGGCGTACTCGGCGATTCTGATCCCGCATCTGGAAGCCGAGGACGCGGAACTTCACGCCACCCAGGAGCAAACTTCCTGGATAGGTATGTAGCACTCAATGACGATGACGCAACGAGCGAGTACAGTATTCCGTGTGTACAGTGGGATCTCGACTAAATCGGGAAACGAGGACGGAGCCTCCAAGAAGCGATAATTGACGCGTTTCACGACCGGCCGATGATTTTATTAAGATTCCCTAATGGGAACTCGCAGACGCAATGTAACAGTTAGATAAGAAGGGATTTATCGAGTATGTTAATGCGACCAGTTCGCGTGTGTGATAACGCGTCTCTCGTCTCCTGAGATTCCATTCGTGACCTAGTTCAATGTTACCGTCTCCGGCTACGTTACAGAACTAGGATTCTCTCAACAGGTGGTAGAGCTAAGTGGAAACCTCTTACGACAGGAAAAGCTTAAAGGCAATTAACAATTTCAGCTAGCGTGGTGGTAGTATGCGTCCCGGTGGGCTCTCTTCTCGGAGGCTTTCTGATGGAGACGTTCGGAAGACTGAGGACCCTGCAACTGGGCGCAATCCCGTGCATCGCGGGTTGGATACTCATTGCCCTGTCCAATAGCTTCCCGATGCTTCTGTGCGGTCGCTTGCTGACTGGCCTCGCCACCGCACTGTCCACTTCGCCCGCCATCGTCTACATCACCGAGGTCGCGCGGCCGGAGCTCCGGGGTTCGATGATATCCTTCGGCCCAACTCTGGCTTCGTTCGGTATGGTGCTGGCGTACTTGAAGGGTGCTTACATACACTGGCGGATAGTGGCCTGGTGCAGCACCATCTACGCCCTCGTGCCTGTCTTTCTGGTGCAACTGTTCGTACCCGAGTCGCCGGTCTGGCTGGTCTCGAAAGGTCGCTACGATCAGGCGAAGGCAGCGGTAGAATGGTGAGCAATTTTTTGAACACGCGAGCCGCCTTGTTCCATTGCTTCGTTAGAAGTCTTATCTCTACGGTTGACTGGATTTCTTGAAGACTTCATTGATCCTCTTCATCCATGTACAACTGCAGTTGTAGTCAGTCGCGTGAATGATAATGTTGCGTTCGCAGGCTGTACAAGTTCGAAGGGAAACAGGGGAAGATGGACGTGGCCCAGGCGCATTACACGACCATAGTAAAGGAGAACGAGATCAAGATGAACGAGCAGAGACACAGCAAACACGGCAGCGCGTTCCACAAGCTGCGAGGATTCATGAAGCCCACCGGCTGGAAGCCGATAACCATCCTCTTCCTGTTCTTTTCTTTCCAACAATTCTCTGGCATCTATATCACTCTGTTCTACGCTGTCACGTGGTTCCAAGTAAGTCATACTCACCATTACTGTCGAAGCAAACCGTTCAATCGCCAGGACCTTGGTTGGACACTTATCTTACGGTTGTCTGTATTTCAGGAAGTCGGCTCAGGCGTAGATCCGTACATAGCCTCAATCTTAGTCGGCGTAACGCGTTTCTTGTGCTCGATGGTGAATACGTGGCTTCTAAGACGATATAAGAGGCGAGCGTTGTGTATCATCTCGTCCTTCGGCATGGCCCTCTGCATGGGCGTTTCCGGTTACTATACTCTGTTGATTAGAGACGGTGATCGTTCAGGCAATTGGGTACGCACAGTTAATGATATGGATGTTCGTTTAAATCTTGATTCGACGAATCTTATTAGCTCACCTTGATTCTACCCAGGTGCCTGTGGTGTGTCTGCTCCTTTACGTCTGCACCTCTATGGTGGGCATGCTGACCATCCCATGGACAATGACCGCTGAACTTTTCCCCACTGAGATTAGAGGAATCGCTCATTCCATCAGCTACTCGATAGCCAATCTGTTGCTGTTCTCTGCTCTGCAAAGCTACAGGAGCTTGCAAGATTTCCTAGGTGGTACGTATAGCTTCCAGATTGGAGAATCTCTTGTTTTCCAAGGTCTTTCCAGCGTCCTCCATTTCTTTATGAGATTACGCAGCAATCAGCGAAGCTGTTGCATTGAAAGGTTACCAGCTGATCAATCTTCGAGTATCAAACTCATGAAATCTTCACGTTCCACAGGATCCTACGCGGTACAGTGGTTTTTCGCCGGCGTCTCCATCGGGTCGGCCGTATTTGTTTGGATCCTCCTGCCAGAAACTCACGGCAAGAAGCTCTCCGAGATCGAGGAATACTTCCAGAACAATTTCCTGGCCATCGGAGCCGAAGCGAAGGCGAAGAAGCAAAAGAGAAGAAGACGGACCAAGACCAATGAGAAATCGTCGGCCACGCAGCCGCTGAACCCCGCGAAACCGAAACCTGTGCAGAACGTGTAAGAACAAGGTGTCCTGAATCGTACGGGCTGGGACCGCGACGAATGATTCCTGGCCAGGATTAGTAATCGTAAGTAAATAACGTTCGCTCGACACGTGACGCACAGGAATTACGTTCTATAGTTAGCTTCCGGAGAGAAGACAGGGAACGATGATAAAGTAAGAGTTTTTACGAGCAACGCGCACCGATCACCTATGTTTGTATCTTTAAATAATCGTCGATAATAGTGTACGGAGTCGTGGGTAGTGTTCGAGAGACGCGTTCTACGGAACCGCGTGGTTCCGTACTCAAGCTTCGCTTGCGCTTCGATGTTAGAGGATAAAACACGATGAAGAAACGCTTTAATCGCTTGGCATCGATCGTCTCGTCAACACCGGAACAATCCTTGGGTAGAAACGAAGAGATTAGTGAAGTATAGGTAAAGAGTGACGCGCAGCGCGGTCCAGTGAATTCGTTGTTCACGATAAGAAGACCCAAGTTACAACAGGCGCACAACAAATAAGATGATCGATGATACTCGCGACGCGCACTCATGACGTTTGCGTAGGGTGGCGCGAGGGATTTAGTTGTACCAAAAAAAGGAAAGAAAGATGGCAAACCGAAGATGACTCTACACGCGACACACAAAACAGTATTACATGTTGATCTGATACAGTCTTCCGTGCGATTGTCCACGGTTGGCCGTAGAAGAGACGGATGAAGATCGTTCGTGCACAACGTTGGCTAGACGGCGGCTATGGTGTTCCCTTTGCGCGCCGTTTCTATGGTGATTCGTTGTTCCCCGTTCGTCGGGCGGACAGAGCATTCCTTCCTCGGAAATCGATTTAAACAACTTCGCTGTGATCTAACAATATTCACAAAGAAAGTCTTATGATAGTGTATCGTGCGTGCCGGCCTGGGTATTGTTCGAATGAACTTACCTCTGAAAACGGTTCGTTGAACGACAAATTGTTTGATTTTTATGTGCGTTCGATGGAAATAATATTTTACAAAGTTATCCTTAAGCGACAGAGTCTTTAATATAATTCACCGTTTAAAATATTATTCTCCATTCTGTGCTTTGCATGCCCAGGTCCGGCAGCCTATTTCACCTTTGAATGTTTTCATTTTCAGTGAACGTGCAGGGTGACTGGAAATACATGATATTAGTTTAATATTCTATGTAGGAAAAGGTAGACAGACCTTTCTCGCGAGAACTACTCTTCTTGATCAAAGAAATTCATTATCTAAGTCCTGAAAGTCTAAAGATTTCTAACATAAATGCTGCCTTCTGATTAACCGTTTAGTACAGTCAGGTACAGACTCGTGGGAATGATGATCACCCACGCATTTGAATCATGTATTTTGAGGCACCATGTAGTGTGCAGAGGTGCTATGTTCGGTGAACATCCACTTTGATTCATTTGACTTACGGACTAGTTTCTACGGCACCTATCCATTTGAACAGGTACTTAAGATTACGACCTTTTGTACGACGTTTATTCACGTTTAATATCCTACATTTACAAACCCAACCATTTTTCAATACTTTTGTACTCCATTGTATACCAGAACGAACTACTCGCGGTCTACGATAGACTGCTAACCGGACGCATAACGCGCTTTTTATAAATTGTATACAAGAAAATCATACAATGTGATCATTAGACTGTGGATCCGTATAGACATTTATTTATTTGCGGACTAGTTTGTCGGAAAAAATATTATTATACACTGATGTGTTCAATCCATTGTTCAGAACAATATCAAACTTTCTTCAAGAGTTCTATTTTAATATATTGTCTATAAATATACGTTACTCCTATACAAATTCCACAGTCTAGTAGTTACAAACAAGGTATAGAATAGATCTAACATTTAATGTATTTCTGTGTCATATAAAGAACAAATTCTCAAAACCTTTAAGCGCCTTCCCACTAATTGCATTAGCTTAATTGTCGTTCTTAGATCCACCGGTTTGAATCGTAGAGGGCGCAAAGACAATAAACGGTTCGCGTTTAGACGGTAATGTAGAACGTTTGGTAGAAACTTTCCAAAATGTTAGATCTATTCTAATCCGTGGTATTACTTACAGAGCTGTGGCTCCTAGATGTTTGCACGAATATTCTATTGCTGACTTATCGAACGTACTTTTATTAAATGTGATAACCTCGTAATCCATGGACCAGGTTAAACGGAAATTATCGATAAAAATCGTGGCCGATCGAGCTCACCTTGTCAACGGCAGATGGCGTCCTGTCCAGTGGAAGTTGCCGATCGATTTTTATCGGCACAGTCCGCTTGTCCGTGAATCGTTTAGAGAAATTCAAATCCCACGGAGAAACCAGTAAAACACAACCAAATTCTCGATGATCGTGTCAGGGATACCTGGGAAATGGTGAACTCGCGATTAATCAGTGATCAGGAGAACAGATGAACCGCTAGCTTAATTTCGAAAGATCGTTGGGCAGATTTGCGTCGAGGTTTTTGATTCGACAAGTGCCTTTCATTTTTCGACTATTCGATGATTATTCGTAATGATATAAGTGTGCAAGCATATGCGAGCAGAGTAGCGTTTGGTGTTAATGTACTTTGTATCGTACTATACGGCATGCTTGTATTCCATAAGTATACATGTACGTATGCATACATATGTACCTACGTCTATATGTGTATACCATTGTAAAATTTCATAAAATGTTTCTAATAAAATCGTATTTTTGGAAACCACAAACGAGACTGTTCATTCATTCGCAGGAATCCCCGTAGAGGTTAACAATAGATTTATTTTTCATATTGGTTTTTTATAAACATTATTTGGTAAATGTTCTTTTTATATAAATATGTGTCCTAATTATCTACTTTCAAATCTCTAATTTCCAAGATCTAAATGAACCAGTATCGATCTTTCGTATTCGTGACGGTCGTAATCCTATATTTTACATAATGAAAATGAAATGAATCTTATAGATATTGTTATTAGAAATTATAAACTACGATTTTATAAATTATAATCGAGATTTTAGACTTTTTGAGGAAACAGAACTCGTAAGAACCACGTTTCGAATTCGCGTTAGGATTAACTTGAATATTCCCTTTTCACAACGTCACTAGACCATATTTTTACTACATTTGAATCCCTCGGATACGGAATTTATCGAAAATTGTATATTTATATAAAATTGCATTGTATCCTTTAATATTTATGCGAAATTATACGTACCTCTCCTGAAAACGATCCTCGACAACCGCGCGCGAGAACGACCATAAACTACTGCGACCGTTACAATTGCTGAACGCTGATTGGCTGCAGGAAACATGCGCGCGCAGATCGGTTGGCGGTCTGAAATGAAGAATTCAAATTCAGACTTATAAAAATACGTGTATAGATGAGGTACAGGATACACATTGGAAGCTTATGATGTCACATAATGTCACATACGCGACATTCAATTCAATTAATAAAGAATTTTTTACAATAGCAATGGTGCAATGATTGTCACTGGAAGTTTTAATATTTTTGATTCTCATTCCTACCGCTATGCCGCTGCCATGTAAAACCAGCCTCAGTCGGTATGACAGGACGTGACACGAAAATGATAAGGAGTACTAGCACCCCTTACAACTTAATCGATACGACAGTATGACTATAAAAATTAGTCTACATAAATTTTACATAGCATATTATCTCTGTCCTCATCAGTACTTTTATTCAAACGAATCTGTCAACTGATAAACCAATAATTAACTCTTTGCACTCGAGAGGTGACTCACCCCTTGATTTCATACAGTAAAACTATAAAATTTTGATATTGAAATAAAAAAGCTTTGTTCCTCAATGTACGTGTGATTTCTTTTTGAATTAGTTTCACAAAATATTGTCTTCATCTTATCAGAAAATGTTAAAATATTTCTAGTGAAAAACTTCCGGGTGCAAAGGGTTAAATACGAGATGTAATTAGTATATGAGCTCCATAAATGTAAATTTAACGTATTAACACGCTGACTGCCGAAAAACTTCAGCGTTTTGTCATATTTTCTTTCATAATGAAGGTAAGAAGAAATGATTATCAATTATTTGATACTACAACTCTCAAGTTACAATATCTACTTATTTACGCTGTTTAAATCTAAATCTAAACAAAATATTAGAAGAACGAAACTGAAACGAGTCATTCAGTTTCTAAATACAATGTCGTAGGTTACAATTTCTAATAACAATATCTATAAGATTCATTTCATTTTCATTATGTAAAATATAGGATTACGACAGTCACGAATACGAAAGATCGATACTCGTTCATTTAGATCTTGGAAATTAGAGATTTGAAAGTAGATAAGTAGGACACATATTTATGTAAGAATTTTTTATCTGACGAGGTATAATTGTTTTCAAGTCATTTGAAAGCTCCGGTCATCCGTGACCACCGTAGCAATCAACGTGTTAATTCTGTCAATCTGTCCTGTTTCACTCCCGTAATATCAATTACAATCAATTAGCATCGGGATTGATCGTTACAGTTGAAGGTTACAAACAAGAAAATAAACGAATATAAAAGATTAGAGACAATAGAACAGCCTGAACACGGGACTAGTGTTTTCAAATTTCGTTTATTGACAGACAATACGAAGCAATCGACTATTCATCGTTCGCATATAAAATATATCCTCTAAACACTAGTGAGATTAGCGTATTAAATACGGTCGGCGATTTAAACAACGGTACACATGCGTCTCGCAGATTCCCCTTTTTTTGTTTCCTACTGGAAAATTCGATAGAAAACGATCACGATCGGGATATATAAGAGCCGGGGAATATCGAGAGGTACATCTATAAACTGTGCGTGTCGAAGATCACGTAAACGTAACCGAACGAAAGAAGAACGAAATCGTCAAATTGCCAACGGAACAGCCATATGTCTGCGGTGCAAAAATTTCAATTCTATATTCGTTACTCGTATAATTCGCTTGGGCGCGCTCGAACGTATGTGTATGCGATTAAAAAGCGGAGAATCGGCACCGATTTCGCTCGCGCGATAATTAATAATTAACAATATCGAGGCGGTCCTCTTCCCTCTTCGTTCGACGCGAGAAAATGGATGTTCCTACGATTACTTTTATATATCTCGTAAAGCTAATTGTTCGTCGACGCGTAATTTCATTTTTCCTCTTTTTTTCTTTTCTTCTTTTGTTTCATTAACATCGCAACGATGTCTCGTCCTATTTTTCTTCCTGCTCGATGGATCCCGAAACCATTCGACGCGGCGTCCTTCATCCGGGACGCCCGCGGGACACCGATTGGGAAATACTTGCGATGACCAGTTTCCCAACGGTCAGATCATTTCTTAAGTTTTCTATCGTTACTTGAAAAATATTATTCGATCACGTCCAGATCTGCCGATTACTGAAAAGAATCCGAACGTTAATTTTCAGCTGGAAAATTGCGCTTGCCTTCCCACCGCCGAAACATTTCGGGAACGTGTCAATTGAACAGCCACGGATCAGTTAATTGAGGAAACAGGAAGCAATCGCATACGACCGAGATTCCTTAGGTATTCCAGTAAGTAATCCACTATTTCGTTGACGAATACAATGTTTATTTTTGTTTAAGAAATCGACGTCCAAAATGTCTGATAATAAAATATTATATAATGTGTATGATGAATTATATAATATTGTATTATATAATAAATAATAGATATTCGTACGTTTCGAGGAAGAAAAAGGTACGAAAGCGTTTCGAAAATAAATAGTAGATTATTTATTGGCCTAGCACTTCACTCGTCGGAGCGGACTTACGAAATGATCTGATACAATTGAACGTATTAACGCGGAGTGTCCTTTTGATTAATGAGAAACGAAAGAGGAAGAAACAAACAACGGGGAATATACCTATCATGTCGATGTAACGAACGAGATTCACGCGTAGATCGAACGTCCACGTGGCCCGATCGGATCCGGTCGTCGCAATGCGAAATTGGCAAAGACCTCGTTAATACAATGTTATACTAATCCTTTCATATACCTACGAATATCGTACACGCATTAGTAAATACAATGTAAAACCTGTTGTCAATAATAATGTTCAAAACTTAACAAAACAAGCGATTCATCTCCCTCTCTCTCTCTTTCTCTCGACTCACTTTCAATCTCTCTAATTCTCCTTTCTGCGTTCTCTCCTTCTCTTTTAAAAACGATTGCGACACTACGCAGGGTCCAGCGGTGCCAAAGACCACCCTCGGCACGACCAAAACGCTGCAGGCAGTGACGGTCAGCTACCTAATCCGTATTAATAGTTACATTAGGTTCTATATTTAATAATATGTATATATATACACGATCCGCACACACCAGGTCAAACCCTAAATCGTATTATGCTTCATATTCTTTTTCTGCTTTTTTTTGCGTTTTCAAAGAAATGTCGACGACGATTGGATTGCGAGAACATATCGGCGAGCGTAAACGTTAACGGCTCGTAAGGATGACAAAATTGCTGGTCGCGTTATACAGGGCTGTGCACGAGAAAACAAGAATACCTCTAATGGAATTAATGTAAAACAAACACTTTAGGAATTGAATAAAATTTCTTGGGTCTAAGCGAATGAAACTGTCAATTTGTTAGAATCCAACGGAGGTATTCGAGTCTCTCGTCTTTCGACGACCTGTACCATCAATATCCGATTAACTTTTGCCTCGCGAAGCGTGCCGGGAACATCGTTAGAACATCGCAGCGGCTTTTACATCGATCGAAGTATCCTGAATCTCGTGATCGAAGAGCAATCGATGAGAATGACTGTTCGCATCCGTACAATTCGTCTTGCGGTTTCTATCGTCCTATGAAAATAGATGATACACATTTTCTGATGGCGTTGATGATAAAAGTGCAGGGTGATTTTAAATCTTTGTCACAAAGCTCATTGGATTCCGTATCGCAAACTTAACCAAGAGAATCTGGTAACAATTGTACAATTCAAAACGAAATGAAACGTTCACTGTCGACCATGCACGCTGGCCTGTAAAAACTTCATGCATACCATTCCTTCTAAACGGAGAAAAGAATCTTACAGAGTAACAACAAGCTTACAATATACAATGTCAAGAAACAAATCTGATTCACCAGAAGTTCTTCGTTACTTTCACGATGTACAAGTTTGCAAGGATCATGATGACGGTAAACGTAGAATCACGCTGCACAGGCGATATCAATGATTTCCTCTACAATTAATGTTTAACGACAATCGAACGCGTACAAGATGGAGAATCCGATTAGCTAGGGAAACATTCTAGATAAAATTATCACTGTTCCGTTTAACGCGACACCGACGAATACGGGAGGAGACGGTACTAACTATTTATGCGTGCTACAAATCGCTTCGTACGACAGCGTATTTCTTTTTACAAGACGATGAAAGACGATCCCCGAAACAAATATCGTCCTGACCACGCCAAAGGCACCAAGTAAAAGAAGTAGCGCTGACACAACACTCGAAACTTGCTCTTCCCTCCCAAGCATTCCTTCTCCCTCAGTCCGTAATTCGTCCGACAGCTTCTTTTGGCACTGTTTGGCCGTCAATTGGAATCGACACGCGTTCGTGACACGTCGGATCGAGTCAGGCGAGAACGTCTGCGTTCTAAATCATTTCTTATTTTATCCTTTTTGTTTTCTTTTCATTTAGTTCTTTTGTAATCACGCGTCAATTCAATTGTCACCTTCAACCCTCTCGCTTGTTTTCCTCGATCGAAGGACTACGGTCGAATATCGTTTCACACGTGATCGTGGCTGTTTCTCGTTTCCCTGTTTAAATAACTTCGATGATTCCACTTTCCTCGGAGAACAGATTGATCGTTAAAATGATCTCTCAACTATCCCGCACCTAGCAGTAAGAAAAGACGAAGGGTGATCTCTCTATTATATTTATATATCATTTTTATCCTTATATAGTAAAACGGAAAAACGACAATGGCACAGAACGTTTTTACTAAACCTTGTTACGTTAGCTTTGATTCAGCGTTTTCGATTAATTATTGGCAACATGGCGCACACAGTTTTCCTTCTCCTTTCATCAATATTAAACGTTAATT